GCAGCGAGCACCTCCCCACCAGACCCTCCGCTCATCCCACCAGGGCCGCGCCAGAGCCGTGCGGGCTGGGTAGACCCGTGAAAGCGAGCCGCAGGTGCGTGCATGCCTCCTCCTGCCCCTCGTTCCCAAATCTCGGCCGGAGTCGGTCGGAAGCGGCGTGGCTAGGCTGGCCGCGGAGGCGCTCGGTGCAGGTGCCTCCAAAGGCGGGAAGGACGGGCTGGCGGGCGCTAACCTCGGTCGTTCTCCCCGCGTCGGGCTAAGGGTGGTGGCTGTTTCCGCTGTGAGCGGCTCGGACCCGCTGCGGCTGCTCTGCAGCCGCCCGCCTGTCCTTTCTTTGAGGTGGAAGAGCTCGCTGGGCTGAAGGGACCGGCGCGTCAGAGGCGCACAGTGTAGGGAGGTCGGGGAGGAACCGAAGAGGCCCCGGGAGATTAGCCTCCCCACGTGGGGTTGGGCTCCCCTCTCAGGCAGGGGAGGCTTTGTAAAATAATTCGCTTTACCTTCGAAAGCAAAGGGAAGATGGGAGCGCCTGAAGCTAAGTGTCTCCTCAGGGCTCCGGTTGCAGGGAGGAGCCCTGACTGGCCACACGTGGGTGCACCAAACGCCGCGGTGTTGCTCTAACGCCGCGGCAGCAAGGGAGAAGGGGCAGCAAGGGAGAAGGGAAAGCAACAGTGGCCCGAACCCGAAGGTCTCCCGAACATCCAAGCTGTCGCCGCCCGCCCACCCACCCACCCGAGGATGCACGGGGGGGGGGGAATTAAGTCACCCCCGAAAAGACGGCCTAGCCGTTTTTTCGGGGGTCAAAAAAAAAATAAGGCCCGGCCTTATTATGTGAGAAACACGGTATTACTGGTAGTATATTATTTTGGACTTACCGAAAACCTAAGCCTATTTGATAACCTATAGCAGCTGGCTGGAGAATTCTGGGAGTTGAAGTCCACAAGTCTTAAAGTTGCTAAGTTTGGGGACCCCTGACCTATAGCATTGATGGTCTGGACAGAATTGGTTCTGAAGGTAGCCACGGTTCTTAACAGGCAATATCTCACAACATTCGTTGCCAATTTGTCAATGTCCAACTGAACTGTTGAATGGAGAAAGCATGAGCAGTTGGCTCTGTTGCTCCTAAACTTCCTCTTTACTCTCTCAATGCCAAATCAGGCTATTGGTTTCCAAGGGAGAGAGAGTGATGATGGATGAGATGTCAAATAAGTTAGGTTTGGAAGGATGTTATGATATAGCGAGGGCCATTTGAACTTTGATGGAGAGCAGGGATTCATCCTATGCAACCAAGATGCTGGAGGGAGGGAGCTAAAACGTAACCCTCAGAGACTCATGGTGAGAATTTTCATTTTTTTTTTCAAACCAATCAATTGGATCCATTCTGACTGTACTCCAGTTACCTGGTCCACATCTATAGAGGTTGCTTAGCTACATCTGGATTTTATTGTGCTGGATTTATTAATTGGCATATTGGTATTTAAACCACACTTTTGGTCTAGATCAGGGGTGTCAAACTTGCACACGCCCACCCTGGTTAAGCGAAGGGGAAAAAGTTGTGATACGTCATGTGATGTGATGCTGCGAGTTTGACACCCGTGGTCTAGATCAAATGGCTCTCTCTCAATCTAACTTGCTTCATAGTGGTATTAATGGGATAAAATTGAGGGAAGATGGATTTAACAACATCCATATATTTCACTCTTAAATGTGTGGAGAAAAAAAGATATGATATAAATGCAAATCTTAATAAAAGTTACGCATCCATTTATAAAAAGGGATGAGGTCATGATGCATGGGAATCTGTTTAACTTAGGCTTATGGTGCTCTCCTAGATGTTCTAGCAGAACAGAAAAATATTCGGACAAAAATAAACAAATGGCGGCCTTTCCATTCTCTTTAAGTAATAATGGACTATTTTGATATATATCTACGTTTCTTCCCATAATTGTGGAGGAAAGAGAGACTACACATATATTCTTCTTTGAGGAACTTTAATGTGCTCCATTCCATGAAACGTCAGACTATACAATGGACTCAAGACCCAGAAGACACAAACAAATCTTCAGTGATGTCCCTTATTTTTTTCTGGGGGGAAAAATGTATATTCAACTGCAAGTGCCACAACAAAAGCGGCAAAACCCCATTTGAATCCTTTGGCGATTGTGTCCAGGAAAGTGACTGGTTTTGCAAAGCCACCTGAGAATCTCCATGCTTCATTGCTAGAGAAAGAACAGACATAAGATGAAAAATTACACAATTTTGCAACTTTACCTTTTAGCCCACCAGTTTAACTTACATATACAGAATTAAGTATACCTGAAAATTGAGTAAATTATTGCAATTATATACCCTTCTTCTCTTTAGATTCATCATCACTTAGTCAAAAGGTATCTGCAGGTGTTTATTGTTTCCTGGAAAAACATGGGTTGGAGTATGTGCGAACAGACGAGAGAGGGAGAATTGCCCCAAAGAGCCTTCCGTCTTAGAATAAAGTATGTTCAAAGAAAAACTATACAGTATTCCTATTTTTCCTCTAAGAACGATCATTTGTTTTTTATTTAATTTATATTCCATCTTTATTATTTTTATACATAACTCAAGGCACAAACATACTTAATATTCCCTCCTCCTATTTTCCTCCCCATAGCAATCCTGTGAGGTGAACTGGGCAGAAAGAGAGTGACTGGGCCAAAGTCATCTGGCCAATTTTTTCATGTCTAAGGCAGGACTAGAGCTCACCATCTCCCAATTTCCAGCCTGATGTCTTCACCACTTAACCACATGTTCTCTAACACCTGATGCTACTATTTATAGCTTGGGGCCTCTAATCAGAATCCTCATAGCTATATTCACAAGCCTTCATATAATTTTCCATTACTTCAGCTGTAATCACCAATTCATTTAATAGAGCTCTTTAATGAGGCAGCTACCAGAAAAAAACATGTTTTGAAGCTACAATGATTATCTTGCAATTTACTCCTTTACTAGAGATTCACTCCAAATGTTTTCAGTTCAAAATTAATCTTCACAGAACCAAACAGAGTTGCATAGGAAATGGGATTTATGAAATCGGCACTTATAATTAGGCAACAACTAAAATTCTTATGTTCCAACCACTATTACTTTTTTTCAAATGAGCACTTCATTAATTATGAAAGTCATACAGGCAGTACACAACTTACAACCATTTGTTTAGTCACTGTTCCAAGTTACAATGGCACTGAAAAAAATGACTTATAACTGATCCTCATACTTAGGACCATTGCAGCTTTCCTATGGTCATGTGTTCAAAATTTGGGTGCTGGGAACTGGCATTTATTTATGATGGCTGCACCATCGGAATCATATGATCGTTATATACGACCTTGCAGCCAGCTTCTGACAAGCAAAGACAATGGGGGAAGCCAGATTCACTTAACAACCGCATAATTCACTTAACACCTGCAGTGATTTGTTTAACCACCATGGCAAATAAGTTTAGTTTACTTTATTTCCATTGCACTTCATACAAGGAAATCAAACACCATCTTCAGTGCACATCATGACCATGAAAATAAACACAAACACACATCCTTCACCCTTCACACATTGAACCGAAAACCCCCGACACCACACCAACACTGCACTATACAGCAGAATTCAAAAGAGCTACTACCCTGGAAAAAGTTGTTTTTCAGCCCATTTTTCCTTGTTTTTATTATTGTGTACCATCTGCCAGATGGTAATAGTTCAGAAAAAGGGTTCCCAGGATGAGACGGATCTTTGAGAATGTTTTGAACTTTCTTAAGGCAGCGGGAGCTATAAAGCTGTTCCAAAGAGGGGAGAGGGCAACCAATGATCTTCTGAACAATGACATTAACCCTCTGGAGTGCTTTCCTATCTGCCACTGTAAAATTGGTAAATCATACAGAGGTGCAGTAAGTTAAGATACTCTCTATGGTGCAGTGGTAGAAGGTCACCAGCAGTTTTTCATTCAGTTGTTTTCTGAGAAGTCTCAGGTAGTATAATCTCTGCTGGGCCCTTTTGACCAGTGCTGCAATGTGAGCACCCCAGGTCAGGTCCTCTTTTAGAATAACACCCAGAAACTTAAAACTGGCCACTTGCTCCATTTGGTCTCCATTGAGAAGCAAGGGCTGGATGTCTGATCTGTTCCTCCTATAGTCCACTATAAGCTCCTTGGTCTTATTGGTGTTGAGGACCAAGTTATTGTCTCCACACCACCAAGGTCATAAATATTGGATATGATTCACTTAACAATCCTCTTGCTTAGTAATGTGAATTCTGGTCTCAGTTGTGGTTGTAAGTTGTGGACAACCTGTACTGTCCTGAAAGTTCATGTGTATAGATAAAAATATCTACATTCAAAATCAAAGGCTTTTGAACAGCACGTAGTGTCATCTGCATCTGGGTTACATTTCATAAAGATAACAATGAAAAAAATACCTGAAAACTACAGTTCCAATTTTAAAAATCTAACATTAGTATTAATGAATACAAAAGATTGCAAAATAATGTGCAGTGTATATGTCAGAAAACCATTTAAAGGATAATTTTAAACCATTTAAAGCAGCGGTCGCCAATCGGTGGGCCATGAGAAAATTTTGGTGGCCCGCAGAGAAATCTCACTCCCAAAGCAATTAATCCAGGCTGCGCAGAAACACAAGGCTGCACCGCCCACACTGCCTGCGGGTACCCTCCTCGCCCACTCACTCCTTACCCGGCAAACTTGCCTGCTAAATTTCTATTTTTTCTTTTTCCGACCATCATCTGTTCTGCTGTGCCAGGAGATTTAGATTAGCTAGGAAGCAGAAAACGGTTGGATTTCTTGCTTTCTAGCTAGTCTTTAGATCTTCGGCTCTGCTTCCCTTAGGACTGAAGGTTTGCTTGCAAGCAAATTCAGTGCACTCAAGGCAAGCAAATTTGAGAGACTGAGCTAGCCGATGGCAGATAGATAGATCACTGAATGATTCTGTAAGCAACTCAATCTGCCTGCTTTGCCTGATTTTGGGTAAAAGTTGCTCTTTTTTTTATAAAAAAATCAATATTTACATACATGGTGTGTTGTGAGTTTGCTTAAAAGCAAATTTTATGTGACAGACTGAGCTAGCCGATGGCAGATAGATAGATCTCTGAATGAATCTGTGATTCTGTGAGCAACTCAATTTGCCTGCCTGCTTTGCCTGATTTTGAGTAAAAGTTGCTCTTTTTTAATAAAAAATTCAATATTTATATAAATATTTATAATATTTACATACAAGCCATGCCCAGCCAGTCACATGACCACCAAGCCACACCCACAAATTAGGCCATGCCCACAGAACCAGTTAGTGGTCCCTGGGATCTAAAGTTATGAGTTTGGTGGTCCCTGAGGTCCAAAAGGTTACCGACCCTTGATTTAAAGGAGCTTCTGTGGCACAGTGGTTAGAGTGCAGTCCTGCAAGCTACTTCTGCTGCAGCCATTGCCTACAATTTGGCAGTTCAAATCCCACCCAGGCTCCAGGTTGACTCAGCCTTCCATCCTTCTGAGGTGAGTAAAATGAGGACCCAGATTGTTGAGGGCAATATGCTGAGTCTGTAAACCGCTTAGAGAGAGCTGAGAAGCACTATAAAGCGGTATATAAGTCTAAGTGCTATTGCTATTGCTATAATGTATTTTCTAGCAGAGCCTTAGCAAAACAAAATTTATGTTGAATTCAAATTGGATCTTATTCAAAGTATGAACTGCACAATTTTAAGAAACTCTTTTTAAATTTAAGGATGTAAATTTTCTGAAGAACTGATTCGACTTAATATAAGGAAATCTAGTTCTCTTGTGCAAGAATGTCCTCACAAATCTTATTATCAGCCTTTACATTTCTATTCTAAAATTTCAGAGTCAATCTACTCTGTATTTCCAAATATAGGACAAAAAATGCTTAGAAAACAAAATGCTTAATGACTTATGTATCTAGAATGTGAACTTTATTTTTGTTTTGTTTCATAAAATGTGTTTTGTGATTGACTTGAACAAAGTAAGGATTTCATATATGCCAACTCTTACCGAAGCCATGGATCCTTGAGACCAAGTTTAGCCAACCTTTCCTGAACATTTTGCAAGGGGGTACCTTCTATTTTCCATTGCCTGTAATCAGGAAGCTCACTGTTCCCATGACCATGGCCCATAATCCTGAGAAAAGATTTGTAAAAGTAAAACTCACAAAATATACAGTGCTTGTTCATTTGGAATATTGCAAAATCAATATTGTGGAGTCTTTGGTGCTCTTTCAGCTTGGTTGTTTGCTTGGAAATTGTTCATTATCCAACTAGGTAAGTTGGCTAATGAGTGCAAGTGAGTGTGAGATTTCCTCCCCGTTTATAGCAGCTTGCCCTGCCATGTTGGCAGGGATATGCTTTTCACCTTGGTAGTCCCCTGATTAGGTTGTTTACTGCTTGAATGTTTGTCTGGTGTTTTGTTCCTGTTTATCTGGGTGCTAGCTATGAGGGAGGATATGCCTGTTCTTTTTGTTCTCTCTTTTGTATAGTATGTTAATATGGTTTATTTCAGTATGTTAATATGGTCTATTTCTCTTCTAGGTTTATTTCTATTTCAGGTGATGGCTGATTTGTCTGAATACCCAACTTTCAGGCATTTTTCTTTCTTTTTTTTAAATAAAGTTTTATTGAATTTTAACAAAACAAATAAAACATCTTATTTGAGTACAACATGGTTCAGGGGTATCACATTTCCACACAGACACAATTTCATATGCATATTCATCTTATGTATTCAACTTCATATCTTATTACTCTTTTTCCAACTTCTTACTATTTCTCCCTTTACTTCTCTTAATTTTTTTTATGGTCATCTCATTTTCTTCTTATTCAATTGTATTTCTTTTACCTAAATTTCTATATCTTTTTATTCATTGTACTTATACTTTTGTCTGTCTTGTTTACAATTTCATATGTTCTCTTCCAACATTCTTAAGAAGCAAAATTCCCCCTATGATTGCCAATCAAAGTGCAACAACTTTAAATCTTATTGTTATTATCATATGAAATCTCATTAAACACTGAATTTGTGCATTCTAAAATTATAACATTCAAATTTCTAATATCTATTTTATATCATGTAGATCTCATCATTCAGACTCTGCTTGGTACTTCCCCTTGAAAATGTAAAAAGAAAAATTCTAAAAACATAGCAAAAACAATATATATATATATAAACATTAGTAAACAAAATAGTTATTCAAAATCATTCTAGTACTGGTATGAACCTTGTAAATCTTTCATGTTTCTTTTCAATATCTATCAATCTTTTGAGAACAACTGAAACGTTTCCCTCCCTTCTTCATTATTACTTAACTGTTAATAAACATACCATTGGATAGTCATACAGTTTTATCTTATAACTTATTTACCATTAATAAGCAAAATAATTATTCAAATTCATTCTAATAACTGGTATGAATTTCCTTATCTTTCACATTTCTTTTCAAGATTTTATCAATCTTTAAAAACAATTGCAATGTTTCCCTCTCTTCTTTATTATTGCATTAATTATAAATAAACATACCATTACATAACAATAGTTTTATCTCATAGATTATTTATTTATTTCATATCTAACTCATTACAGTATTCTACTGTCACAACACTATCTTTTGTACCTTTGCAGAATCCTCACTTTTAACTTAATTTAAATATTGTCTGTTTTCTAGCTGAGCAAATACCTTTAATCCTAGTACGTTTCCCCTTTTTCTTTATTTCCTGCTTTTGTCCCTCATAAGTTCTTTCCCTTTCTATCTTTCCCCCCCTTTTCTCATCCCTTTTTTTATACCCTTCTCTAATTTTCCCTTCTGTAGTTTTCTTTTCTGCTTCTCCTTGCTGTTACACTACTTTTTCAGACTATTTTTCTTTTTGGCTGTTCCCTTTGATCTCAAACTTTTAACTCCTTTCTCCCTTTTCCCCCTTTTTTCCACACTTTGCATTATTTGATCATTGAAAATGGCTTCTTCTTTGTCCTGCCCTTCTTCTTACTCTTGAAGCTTTTCCTTTTGGTTTTCATAGTTCAGGATCTCCATTTCAAAAAATTCAAATGCGAAGCCAAAGGATCTTCCTCCCCTTTCTGCATCTTCTTTCTGTTTTTTAAGACTCATCTTCAACTCCTCTAGGAGTGATGGCATTTTAAACACTTTTGAACAACCACCTGATTGACTTTAAGTAAAAACAGAAAAAGAAAAAAAATGCCAAAAACTTTTTTTAAAAAATCACCAAATGATCCCAGACTGTTCCTTCTTGTTTCTTTCCTTTACTTTTCCTTTCCGTGGGTTACTGTATCTTTTAATAAGATTTCAGTTACAATGTATCCTCTGGAGTCTTTTCAAAGTTTCACTGTTAATCCTCTTTATTTTTCCAGGTGGCACTCCATTTTTCCATTATTCCAAGTCCCACCCTTTTGCCTCCACTCTTCTCCTTTTTAGGACTTCAAAATGACCAAGAAAAAATCTTTATTCTCCTTTTGACACTTAGATTTCAGCTTAAGGTTGCCTATCAGTGTCAAAATAGATTAATATAAATTTCTTTCCATACCATTTGTAATTGCCAATATAAAGGTAAAAAAAGGGTTTTTAACCTCCTTTTCTCTCTCCTTCGCCGCTTAAAGATCTTCTTTCAGAAGTATCCCTCTAGGTACTTTTAGATTCAGGGTACCTTGCTTAGATGTTCTCTGTTGTTTAGCCCGGTCTGTCCTGCTTTCCTCTTTGTCTTCCTCCTGCACAATCTTATCCAGTCGGGTTCTTTGAGGTGGCCATTTCTGACCACCGCTGCAACCGCCTTCGAGGAAGGGAGTTTAGACCAGCCAAGGAGGAGAGATGCGGCTCCCCTCCACTCGGCTAGCAATCTCCCCCATCTTCACCACCTCTACGGGGTGGCTTCAGCCCCGAATCCAAAGGATTGGGGCACTCCAACGGCGAGCACAGATCAAAACCGTGCATGATTGCGGATTTCGGTTTGTCACTGAAGAGACCCAAACCGGAAGTCCCAATTCCAGGCATTTTTCAATGTTCACTGTTTCCCAGTTGAAACTGTGGTTGAATCTGTAAGATTAAAGAGTTTTCATAAGTCTTATGACTGCCGTTCATGTTCATGAATGTGTTCTGTATGATGGCTGCTACAGTCATTACACTCCATGTTGTAGATGATTGTGTTTTTTCCCCACTTGGGCTACTGTTCTTTTGGTTTAATTAAGATATTTCAGAGGATTTTAGTTAGTCTGTGTGCTATAGTAATGGCATGTAGTTGTAGTATATTGGTTGTTTTGACGTAATGTAGAGTTTTCTTTTCCATAGCTTGTGTTGGATTGTGCTATAGTGGTTTGAATGGTCACACACTTTTTGATAAAGTTGTGTGATTATCTATTTTCTTGGGAGATATTCAGGCAACCTGTTTCCTTTTTCTAATTTTCTAGGTGTCCATATTTTTGTTGAATGTGTTGAACTGCTATGATTTCTAGATGCCGCATTACAACCTCTGCTATGATTATGATGATCTCATGGATATTCCTCTGGTTTGTTAGAATATCTGTCCATCGGAATGAAAGTAGGTAAGTGTGGCAGAAGTTGATGAGGTCCATGATTCTGGGCATTCTGATCTTAAATTTACTTGGCATATTTACACACAGTCAAAGGACATGTGTAAATGTTGTAAGCCACCCAGAGTTGATAGGTATGAGATAGGTGGCAAATAAATTCAATAGATAGATAGATGACAGACAGCTAGATAAACAAAAATTCAATAAAAAAGCAAGGAATAACAAAAAGACCACAACATATCCTCTGCAGCAGCCAACACCCAGATAAGCAGGGATTAACACCAGACAAACTATCAAGTAGAAAACAACACTCTTATCAAGGAACTCCAAGGAGAAAATTATACTTCCATCAACACTGGCAGGGCAAGCTACTATATATAAAAAAGGAAAAAAATCCCACACTCACTAGTACTGATAATAAAATGCATGCAAGCACACAATCAAGCTCAGAGAGCACCAAGGATTCTACAGTTCAAACCTGAACTACATATATTGTCTTCTATTGAAAATCAAAATTTTCTATCATGTACATGGAAATGTATTACCTAACTTCCTATGGACCAGAAAAACTGCTGTTCCACATTAATAATTATCTACTGTAGTTATAACAGTAAGAAACTACATCTAACAGCATTTCAGAAATATTGACAATTGACATACTTTTATTTTATCATAAGGAGTAAAAGAAGTGTTCTATTTGCACTAGCATATGCAATAATTTAATTCACTTAATAGCCTCCAGTAAGTGACAAGGAAAAGTAATGTTTCTGTTTCTCTCTTTTTTGCAGGCATAGTTTTTTTATTCACATTATCTGATTAATTTGTCTGAGGTCCAACTGTCTTTTTCACTGAAAAAAAATTGCATCCATTATATAAATAGCTTTTGTTTTTGGAAAACACTTTCCTCCAAGACAACCAATCAATCAATCAAAATCTTATTAAAGTTACTGACCAAAATGTTATAAGAATCACCAGACATAAAGAAAAGTGAAATAAAATTAAACAAATTCTACATTAAGATAAAACAAGCAAAATAAAAATTGATGTAACTAGGTTAAAGAGAAGAGGGATCTAAAATGGCTACTGAAACTTCCAGATTATAAAAGTGACTTTAAATCATTCATTGTTAAGCAATAACAATGAATGATTTAAGCAATAATAAGCAATAAAGTTCAGCTATGTAGCTGAACAAATCTTCTACCACTATGTAAGGAATCTTATTGTGACTGAGATGTCTGTTTTAAACATGAAAAAACAGTATGTGAAATTAGCAGAGGTTTTTTAAAAGAACAATTTAATATGCTCATAATTTCTTATCCTCAAAATGTGGCATATGTCAGAACTGAGCAGTATGAGCAACCAGGAATCTATCTCAGGAACTCTAAAATGATAAAAAAAAAAGATTGCTTGTCATTATTTCCCCTCTTCTCTTTCAGAACCACAACATTCTGAAGGAACTGGTAGATGTGATCTCAGAACCGCTGACTTTCAAAGATGGAGCACCAAGGAACTACTATATGACTGGAAAAGGGCTGATGTAGTTTCCATCTTCAAAAAAGGAAAAAAATGGGTTTAAGAAAATGACATACCTATCAGTCTGACATCAATACATTGGAAGATTCTGGAAAGGATAATCAAGCAATGAATCTGTGAACAAACAAAATCATAACCAAAAGCCAATGAGTTTGTCAAAAACAGATCATGCCAGAGAAACTGCATTCTTTGGCAATGTGACAAAATTAAGAGGACCAGAGAAATGCTGTGAATATAATTTACTTGGACTTCAGTAATCTATTGATAAAATAGACCACAACCTACTACTTTATTAAATTATGGGTTAGACAGCATCACTACCAAATTGATTTTTAACTAGATTCAACTTTTTTCTGGATTTTCAACTGCATTCAACATGTAGTCCGTAATGGAACTGCATCTACATGGAGAGAAGTATGCAGTAGGGTACCCCAAGGTGTTGTCTTAGGCACAGTACTCTTCAACATTTTCATTAATGATTTAGATGAGGGGATAGAAGGGGAACTCATCTAATTTACAGATGACAGACACCAAGCTGACAGGAATAGGCAACACTCTAGAAGATAAGCTCAAGATACAGAAGGATCTTGACAGACTTGAACACTGGGCCTTATCTAACAAAATAAAATTCACTGTGACAAAAGTAAAGTTTAGGCAAGAAAAACCAAATGATCAGTTATAGAATAGGTGGAACCTAGCTGAAAAGTAGTAACTGAGAGAGGGATATTGAAGTCCTACTGGACAATCACTTAAATATGAGCCAGCAGTGTGCTGCAGTTGACAAAAACGGTAACACATTCCTAGGCTGCATTAACAGAAGTATAAATCAAGATCAAGCAAAGTGTTAATAACACCTTATAATGCTTTGATAAAACCACACTTGGAATATTGCATCCAGTTTTGGTTGCCACTATATAAAAAAGATTTTGAGACTCTAAAAAAAGTGTAGAGAAGAGCAACAAAGATAATTAGAGGACCGGAAGCTTAAAATATATGAAGAATGCTGCAGGAATTGGGTATGTCAAGTTTAATGAAAAGAAGGACTAGTGTGACATGACAGCAGTATTCCAATATCTAAGATGCTGCCACAAAGAAGTTGTGGGACCTGAAGGCAGGACAAGCAATGGATAGAAACTAATCAAGCAAACGTAAAACTAAAGAAAAATTTCTTAACAGAACAATTAACCAGTGGAACAACTTGCCTCAAGAAGTTGTGGATGATTCAACACTGAAGGTTTTTAAGAAGAGATTGGACAACAATTTGTCTGAAATGTTATGGGACAAGTGGTTAGACTATTAGAAGACCTCCAGATCCCTTCCAACTCTGTTATTCTGTCTGTCACAAACAATCTTCTTTGACATGAGCTGTTTTTAAAGTGGCTACTACAGGAAGGAGATAGAAAATGGAACATTCTTCCCATGCCCTTTCACTGAATCACCTTTGGAACCATCTTTTCTCCATTTTCCTCTTTTGTTATATGGTAACCAATGTCATGCCACCCATTCCTCCACCATGGATGTTGAGAGCACTTGCAGAGTGTTTTGTCTGATCTCAGGCTTTTTACTTGTCATCCTCAGCTCTTATTGCATCACAATAGTTGGACCACTGTCATTGATATGCAAAGGTTAAAGGTTATGATACATCACAGCAGTGCAATTTCTTCTCATCACCCAATTTTGTGATAAAAAACATTCCTGTATCTTTGAATTCACAATGGATGTTTCTGTACAACATACTTGTTTCCAATGGCAATTAAAGTGTCCATTTTCATTACTATTTAAGACATATTAAGTCAACAAATCCTGAATTAAAAACAGCATTTAAAACAATTCAGAAACCACTGCTACATTTGTCAATATAAATTTATCTTAGATGCATACTTGTTTAAAAGGCGCCTGTCAATATGTATAACTTTACACCCCAGTACATTAATTACAGAGCAATATTACCTTGCCTTTCCTGCAAGGGTTGTCCCGTGGAGCCTTATCTGTCTGATCAATCTGGAAAATCGGTTTATTAAAAGCGCAATAGGCCTACAGTAATCTATTTTTCTTTTAACGATATAGTCAGTGGCCATTCAAGAAGAGAGGAAACTGCAGTTACCCATTGCTTCAAAGACGTCATGACTCTCGCCTCTTCGATGAAATTTTTTTCCTAACAGAAGCAGGTATTTATGGAAAGAAAATACCGAGATTTGGGATTGAGAAAAGAAAGGAACCTGCATCCAAAATAGCTCATACCTGATATTCAGCGAGCCTTCTTCACAATGTCAAGAAATCAAAGCGGAAACGGAAACTGGAACGGTTCGCTGCCGCTAATCTACCCGGAGAAAAGAAGCCGCTTGAGGAGGTTCCATAGGAAAGTTTTTTCCGCCTTTTACTTGTCTCCGCCCACTTCGCGCGGACTCCGACCGGCTATTCCCAGCCGGCGGTGAGACCTCTTTTCGTCCTTCCCCCTCCCCCACACGTGTTTTCCCACGGGCGCGCGCAATCGGAGGAAGCCAATGAAGGCTGTCATTGTTAGGGGCGGGCTGCTGTCCAATGGGCGGCCTCCTTCTTTTCTTGCCGTGCTTGCTTACGGGCCGGAGGCGGCTGGAGGGGGAGGGATTGGCGGTAGCGCCGGTACCAATGGTGGTGAGTTGCTGTGGGGAAGAGACGCTCCTGAGTTGGCGGCCGGCTTTCTGCCGCCGCGAGCAGAGGAAGGACGTCGGTAGGTAGTCGCCTCCCGCTCTCCCCTCGCTCTCGGTAGAAGGGACGGGGCAGCAACTCTCAGGCAGCCGGGAACTCTGCCGCTTCTTCGCTGGACTCGCGAGCTGCAGTGACAGCTGCCCTTTGCACCCTGGAAGCCTCCCCCGCCCGCCCCGGGCACTTGTCGCTTTTTCCAGGCGGGTTCGGGTTCCCCTCTTCGCCCTTCCTGCTTCCCTGCTCCTCCTGAGCGGTCATTGCGCTACCTTCCTCCTTCCTTCCTTCCGCGCCAGAGCCAGCAGATTGCCACTATCCTCTCCAGCTCTTCCACGCACTTCTTGGATGTGACGAAGCTTTTCGCCCTCTTTCTTCTCCTGCCAAGACCGGTTGCCTTCCTCTTTTCCGTATAACACCGGTAGCAAAGTCCCGGTCCAGCTCCCGCCGATCCTGCTGCTTTCCCTCGTTTCCGGATAAATTACAACCGTCTCATAACCGTTTTCTGTTCATAAAGTGACGTTGTATTTTCCTGAGAGGATGAGGCCCCTTTGCTTCTTTACAATCAGAGCTTTTGCGAAGGAGTAGCAAGCAATACGTTTTTCTTCTTTCTTCTCAAGATAAAACGTAAGCCACCTTTCCAGCTACAGTTTGTTTTGATCTGGTCTGAACTCGTCCCGGAGTTGTTTAGTAGTCTCCCTCTCTAACCTTCAATGAAGTCCCTTTAACTAACATTTCTTTCTACCCTGATTGCTTCTTGGCAGTTGTTGTCTTATGGTTGTTAATAATAAGATAAAGAATATAGTAAATAGATATATGAATAAATCTGACAAAGAGATGTTATGTAACATTTTAGCTACATTGCTTATACAAATATTCACTTAGTCAATTAACTCAGGTAAGCAAATGAACACATTTGCACATTATCTACATGTAAAAACACCCTCCCCGCAATATTTATTACTTCTGCTTCAGTTTCACAACTTAAACAGGTAAAGTAGAAAAACTATATATATCCACATTATTGTATTTAGTTTCCATAAAAGCATAGGTTTAATGGTGGGCTTTAAAAATGTCAATTTCTTTGTCAATTATGACATTTTAATAAATTCTTAGAAATGGGAAATTTATGATAATTAGAGATTAAGGAAAGAATAGAAAAACAGCAAGGTTAAATTAATACCATTTATTTTTATTTTTTTTATTTTTTCATATTTGATTGCTTCTTTAAAATAAGATTTGACAGATGGTTGACCTTTCTATTTCCTGGGATATGGTAACAAGCTTGATGACAGTAAAATTGTTTTTATTCTCCAGACTTCCTTTCACATAGGAGGAAAAGCCAATCAGTAGTATTTCCATGGACAAAAGTAGAGTTTCAACTATAAAATATTTAATTGAGCTTATTTATATGTCATACAAATGGTGTTAGACATACAGTTTAATGTTACTGTTAAATGTACATATCATTTGCCACCATTTCAGAAACACTTTACTTCTGCTTGGTAATAACTGATTTTAAAGATACTTTTATTTAGTGTTTATTTTGATTTTAGTACTTCATAAATGGAAGATCTGACTATTATACAAATTGATCTTGGGGAGTGCAAGTTATTTTTATTTCTTGAAGTTGGACGAATTATGGTAATCAAGATATTGTACACCAGCTTGATGTGTCTCTGGACTCTAGTAAGGTTGAGCAAAAATATAGTTTTCTTAGCACAATAGTGCTAAAGAGCATTTTTTTTTTTACAAAGAAGATTTTACTATAAATCCCACATGAATTTAAGTATAGAGGTTTTAAGTGGAAAGGAAGCTACAATTCAATGCTATCAAAATTATAAAAATTAAGTGTTATAAAGAAGTAGCTACAGTGATAGATGAGCAGCTTGCTGGGTGCTATTAAGTGACCGCACCTTATAAGCTAGTGCCCATCAAACATTTTCCTCCATGACACAGCATAGCCTCTGCTATACCTGTATTTTGCCTGTCCATATTTCAGTAGGGGGTGGGGGTTAGTATGTAACAGTATGGTATATGCTTTGAGAAGCTTGGGGCAAATTCACAAAACATAGTTATATATGTATAGTTGCACGTGTCCTTTTGGGTTATGAACTTTAGTCTAGAAACAATGAACTCTGTGTACCCAAAGAGGCTTTAAACTTACTTGTCCTCAGATGCTGCCCCTGCATATCACAAGACAAACAATTTGTGAAATTCCTTCCAAGCATGCAAATTAGATTGATTCTGTTTCTTACGTATAGTTGAAGCAAAATGTTTCATAATATGCTTTCTGCCCTTATGCCATCTGTTCATTATTTTAGTGTTCCTATTTGTATATAATGTCTTCTTGAAGAACAGTTAGAATTCATATTTAAACATTTTAATGATGAAAACTCTGAATATCTTTGAAGATTAACTGTTATAGTGTCCAAAGACCTGCTAATAAGGGAACATTTTAGAGGAGAACAGTTTTATTTGTCTTATTATAACAGAATAACAGAGTTGGAAGGCTTTGGAGTTCTTTTAGTCCAACCCTCTGCACAAGCAGGAGACTATACTATTTCAGACAGGTGGCTGTCCAGTCTCTTCTTAAAAGGCTCCAGTGATGGAACACCCACAACTTCTGAAGGCAAGCTGTTCCACTGGTTGATTGTTCTCACTGTCAAGGAAATTTCTCCTTAGTTCTAGGTTGGATCTCTCTTTGATTAGTTTCCATTCATTGTTTCTTTTCTTGCCTTTGGGTGCTTTGGAAAATAGGTTGACCTCTTCTTTGTGGCAGCCCTTCAAATATTGGAACACTGCTATCATATCTCCTCTGGTCCTTCTTTTCACTAGACTAACCATACCCAATTCATGCAACTGTTCTTCATATGTTTTAGTTTTCAGCCCCTAATCATCTTTGTTGCTCTTCTTTGCATTTTTTCCAAAGTCTCAACATTTTTTTAATAATGTGGTGACCAAAACTGGATGCAGTTAGATTGTGCATGAATCTAACATAGGAAGGTTATAAATCTTCCTTTGTTAGTTTTCAGTACCCAGCCAGATATGTAGTTCAACACATTGATAAGTAATAGGCTAGTAAAGGTTCTCAAAGTATCTGATAAAATTTGTTTTGTTAAATCATAATGCCTTTTTGAAAATGTAACTTTTATTTGTTCTACAGATCTGTCAGTAAAAAAGTTTATATTAGGAAGAAATTCTGCAATATATGAATAAGAAAGTAACTATCTTATATACATGGAGTAATTGAGAATACTCTCAAACTGCCATCTAATTAAAAGTACAATGAGAGCTTACATCCTGAAGAGCCCAATGTTGTGTAATAGCTAAGAGTGATCAATTAAAGTTTCTATCTATCAGTGGAGTCTGCTGTACAATACAGGTAGTTCTTGATTTTGACCACAATTGAGCCCAAAATTTCTGTTGTAAAGTGAGAAATTTATTAAGTGAGTTTTGCTCCATTTTATAACCTTCCTTGCCTCAGTTGTTAAGTGAATCACTGCAATTGATAAGCTAATAACCTGGTTGTTAATTGAATCTGGCTTCCCCATTGACTTTGTCAAAAGGTTGCAAAAGGTGATCACATGACCTTGGGACAAAGTGACAGTCATAAATATGAATCAGTTGCCATGACCATGGGGATGCTGCAAAGGTGGTAACTGTGAAAAATGATCATATGTCACTTTTTTCAGTGTCATTGTAACTTTGAACAGTCACTAAATGAACTGTTGCAAGCCAAGGACTACCTGTATTGAGCCAGTCATTCACTCTCAGGCCTGTTTTTTGTAGGAATAGAATGAAGGAAATCCTCATGTAAAAACTAATGTAACTCAACCCTTAAAATTTCAGACAAAAAGTGAAATATAAATGCAGTAAAAATGTGTATTTTTAAAGCTGCTGTTTCTGTTTTTTATTTAATTGGATTTTAAAGTTTAAAGCAGGCTTTTCTTATGCAGATGTCAATACGGTGAAACCTGGATTCAATAAATGAAATCTCCGTTGCATTTCATTTTATATCATTTTATAACTTTTGCGTAATGACATAAGCATGGGTAGGCTCAATTTAAAGGACTGACACTTTCCCTGCCTCATTAATTCACTTAAATGAAATGTTATTGTACAAAGTATTATATTTTGTTCTCAGACTTAACTTAATTGATCTTCACAAGCAAATTTTTGTTTTTTTCCATACTTCTGACATTTAATTTGCTATATACTTGAAGATTCATAGACCCAATAATTTTGTGGTCCATTTGTTCAGACTGAGAAAAAGAACATTCGGATCCTGAGGAAAAGATCTAAAGGACTTATCTATCTCAGAACTATCAAATTTGGACTCAATGAAGTAATGTGCTTGCAGAAATTTGCTTTTGGGATCAGTCCCCCAAATCAACAAACTTCAGTTCAATCTATATTTTTTACAAGAGATAGTTCAGATAGTTAAATTTTGTATGATCCTGTGCGCTGGTGCACATTAACTCCCAAAATAAATTCTTGACTCTTACTTTGTACAAATAACAAAAATATGTTTTGCCGAACTTCCAAATAGTGTTACAGTTATGAATAGCCAGTAACTATAATGTGTTAATTTTTAAGTTGTAGTTTTATTCATTTTTATTATAGAAAGCATTAGTATGATTTCCTGGGAAAGAAAAGTGGATATAATTGGGCATGACTATCTGGAGAAAACAACTGTAGTGGATGTTACTTCATCCCTAGTTAATTCCACTCATCATTTAGATATATTTCTTGATTGGACTTAGTGACAAAAACTGCCAGCCCCAGTTAGCTTTCTTACTCTTTTACTCTGATACAGTACTGTCAACAGTATTATTGAAGTTGTTATGTTTTTAAAATTACCACAGCTGGTAAGTGTAATTATCAGACACTGAATCACCAAACATGTGTATACCTTCCTGAAAAAAGATGTTTTGTTGTTTCTATTTTAATTGGACTCTGATTTTTTGACAGAGTAGTTGCTAGGAATTAAGGTATAATAAGTAAAGAGATACTGCTTTAAATGTACTG